GCAGGCAGCTCGCCAATCTGGTTACCCTGCAGGCGGCAGGAGTTTCATTCCGCCGGGGAGCACTGGAGCTGGTGGTGTGGAACGCGTGCCTCAGAGTTGGCCCCTCAGAGGGCAAGGGGGCCAGGGGGTTCATCTCCTCACTCCCATGTGTCCCCAAAGGGGACTCCCCGGGGGAGCTGCTCTCTGGCTTCCATGAAAGCCGCCAGGCAGAGAGACAGCTATGGCACTCACTAGGAGCAGGCCAGGGCCCACTGAGGTTGGGAGGCCAGAGGGATTTGGGCAGATCACTGTCCTTTCTGAGCCTGTCACCTCTGTGGAGGACACAGAGGCCCAGAGCAGTGTAGAGACCTGGCAGCCAGCCCATAGGAAGCAAGAGGAAGGGGGGCCCAGGCCTCCCGGCCTCTCCGCAGAGCTCCTGTTGGCCCAGGCAGCCCCTCCATACAGCACTGCCTGTCACGACGCTGCAGGGTACACTGGGCCTGAAGGCCCTGGCCAGGCCCATCGGAGTCTCTCTCTCTCTCTCTTTCTCTCAACCGCTGTAGAAACAAGTGACCTCAAGACAAAGGTGGCCACCCTAGAGGGGGAGCTGAAGCAGCAACAGGAGGCCATGCAGGCCGTGGGTGAGGAGCCCCCTTGTGTGGCCCTGTACCCCATGTCCTGTGCTCAGTGGTGCGGCTAGATGAGCAGTACTGTCTCTGACCCCCGGGCTTCTAGGAGCCACAGGGATGGGCCCGCCTGGCCACACAGTTGGGCTGCCACCACCTCCCACCCAGAGAGCACCTTCTGTTTTCACAGAAGGGTTCAGACCAGCATTTTGTGGCTGGGGACACTGAGGCCCAGAGACAGGCTGTGACCCCTCCCGCCCCACCTCAGGTCCCATCATGGGTCGGGGCGGTGCGGAGACTCGCACCCAGGCTTCTCCGGCTCTACCCCTCCCCCTGCCCACTCAATCCTGCAGAGACGAAGGCGCGGCAATTTCAGGAGGAGGCTGAGCGCAGGGCAGAGGCCGAGAGGCAGGTGCAGCAGCTGGAGGAGCAGGTGCAGCTGCTTGCCGGGCGGCTGGACGGGGCCAGCCAGCAGATCCGCTGGGCCAGCACTGAGCTGGACAAGGAGAAGGCCCGTGTTGACAGCATGGTCCGCCACCAGGAGGTGAGGATCTAGGGCTGTCTGTGACATAGGCTGCAGGGAGAGAGAGCCCCACTGGTTGGGGGGGGTACCTGCCCAGCAACACACACACCCAGGCTTTTGTTTGATCTTTATCAAAAGCCTGAGCCTTCCGCTGGGCCCCAGGCACTGGGGAAACAGCGATCCAGGGACAGATGCAGCCAAAGGTGGCCTTGCTCTGGAGGAGCTCCCCACCCAGCGAGGACGAGCAGCTGGGTCACCACAGCTCTGCTGCCAGATGGCTAGGAGGTGCAGGGAAAGTGCTACAGGTGTCCACAGAGGGACAGTCACATCGGTGGGAATCCAGGATGGCTTCTAGGAAGGAATGGCCTTTGAACTGGATGCCAGGGGCTGGTGAGGAGTCCATCAGTCAGAGAAAGGATGGGGATGACAAAGAGCGAGCCAAGGCCCAGGTTACAGCTATGCCCTGGGCACTAGGGCCCTGCAGGAATCCTCAAGGGTAGGGCTGAGGGAGCAGGTGACCTGCCACCTGAAGCAGTTATGGCCCAGGCCGGGAAGGCCTTTCAGTCCCAAGCGGGTGTTTTCCTCAGTTCCCTGTGAACGGTCACGGTCACCAGGTATCAGATGTGTGCTGTGGACAAGGGGCTGGGCCTCGGCCTCTGTAGCCCCTTTGTTCTTATTCCTCATCACCACAGTAGGAGGTGGACAGTCTCGTTGTCCCTATTTTATGGAGGAGGAGATTGGGGCTCAGGGAGATTATGGCAATTACGCAAAGCTTCGCAGCCAGCTGGAGCTAGAGCCCGGATTCGGAGCAGACCAGCACTGGCTTTTCCTGGTTTGCACTCAGTGGGTGTCAGGAAAAGTGGATCCCAAGTGATGTGGGCTGACGGGACACAGGAAACCTAAGGAGAAAAAGAGAAGGTATTGCCCAGAATTCCTCCCCCAGTGGAGATTGTGACTGGAAAGAAGAGGGGATGAGATTGATAGTTAATCCATTGCTTTCCAAAGTGGCAGGGGTCTGCAAGGTGGGGGGCCTGGGCCTGACCAGGTGGGGGGCCCAGAGGGGTATGCACCACTGGCCCCTCTGCCCCTTCTGCTGCACACGCATGCACAGCCTCCCCTGTACATAGACAGGCACAAGGGGGCGCGTCAGAGATACCAAGGCCTCTTCTGTCCCACGCTGAGCTTTGCCCCGTGGGCCTCATGGCCTCCCTGCCTGCCCACCCTGCCTCAGTCCCTACAGTCCAAACAGCGAGCCCTGCTACAGCAGCTGGACAGCCTGGACCAGGAGCGTGAGGAGCTGCGGGGCAGCCTGGATGAGGCCGAGGCCCAGCGGGCCCAGGTGGAGGAGCAGCTGCGGAGCATACAGAACGAGAGGGAGCAGGGGCAGAGCCAGCTCCTGGCCCAGCAGGTGGGAGCCGGCAGGGTAAGGGTGCTGGACGGCTCTCCCCTTTCTCCAAGAGGGGTCTCCAGCCAGTGGAGTGCCCGCAGGCCTGTCCCGTGTCTGGATCATTGGGGAGAGGGGTGTCCCCAGGGGAGCCGGGAGCCATTCATTGCATAAGTCTTGAGCCTCCCCCTGCCCCAGGAGCTGCTGCAGAGCCTGCAACAGGAGAAGCAAGGCCTGGAGCAGGCCACGACAGATCTGCGGCTGACCATATCAGAGCTGGAACGCGAGCTCACAGAGCTGAGAGAGCGGGAGCGGCTGCTGGTGGCCTTCCCAGACCTGCATAGACCCATCGAGGCCCAGATCCCAAGTAGGGGCCCAGAGAGGCTGACCAGGGCATACTGGGGCCTGGACAGGCAGCTGAGGGGTCACCTGGGCAAGACACTGGAGTCTGCAGCTCCCTGGCCTGCAGTGCGGTCCCTACTGAGTCCCTAGGACACAGAAGGTGCCTTGTGTGTTAGCCACTCTGTAGATGGGGACACAGAAGCCCAGAGGCAAGGAGACTGCCCACTGTCCGCATGCTGAGTCCACGTGCAGGTCTAACCACCTCTGTAGCCTGTGCTCTTCACCATGTCACATGCCAGTCCTTGCTCAACATCCTGGTGTCCCCTGTCCTGGTGTCTCCCCAAACCACAGCATGGGGCCAGCTCCATGGGCACCGCCCCAGCTGTCCGGTGTCCAGTGTCATGCCCCCCCATGCCCCAAGAGTACTAGGTACCCGTCTCAGCAGAGAACTGGATGTCGGGCAACCTAGGTTCTCCTTTAAGGCCCTCATCCCTCACCCCTGGGCGGGGGTGAATCCATTTGCAGGGCTGTCGGGTAGAGTGACATAATTTAGCTTGGTCACACTAAGTCATCGGTCCTGAGTGCAGCAGGCCAAGCCCTTCCGTTGTCTTTTGATCCACCCCATAAGATGGTAACAGCCTTTTCACAAGCCACAAGACCGAGAACCACAGCGGGCAGCAACTTGTTCAGGTTCAGAGTCAGAAAGCAAGCGTCCATCTCCCCAGTGGCGGGAAAGAACGTGCTTGCTGAGTTCCTGACACAGGAGTGACTCATACACAAGAGCTGGCTGCGTGGCCTGAGACACCTCGCTGTCTCTCTGAAAACAAGCGGCTTTGGAAGGGATTCACTCTCTTACCCAGTTACAGCGTCTTCAGTGAGACTGAGGTCCCAGTCAGCTTGCTGTGGTCACCTCCCAGCAGGGAGGGGGTGGGAAACTGGGACAGGACCTCAGGAGAAGAATGATGAGGTTGGGGGGGGTGGGTAGAGCACGGGCCCTGCTCGGCTCCCCTGTGCTCACCAGGCCACCAACCTAAGGTACACCCCAGCTAGCGTGTGTGCCCTTGGAGGTCCTGTACCACTGGGTACCAGGGTGAGCCCTGGCAGGGGGAGATAACAGAGGGTATATCCCTGCAGGCTCCGGTAATGTTACTGATGACATGGTGAGGCAGGTACAGGCCAACGACATCCGCATCCAGGTCCTGCAGGAGGAGAATGGGCGGCTCCAGTCTATGCTGTCCAAAATCCGGGAGGTAGCCCAGCAGGGAAGCCTAAAGGTGAGCAGCCTGGCTCCCCAACCTGAGAGGGCCGGCTCTTGGGGACTTGGGGGAGGTCCCTGACCCAGCAGGTCTTCAAACACCACCCTGGGAACCTACCGAAAGCCTGCCTCATCACATGTAGTTTCCACATTTCAAGCAGGCGTGAGAATGGTACGGTGCCTTTCCATTTCCCCCTTCCAGCTTTTGTTCACTTTAAGGACAACCAGGAACCTTGTCAGAAAGCCAAACTTCCCACACTTAACTGCAGCTGGGGTGGCCCTGGAAGGCTCCCCAAACCCTGCACCTGAGAGGAAGGGGCTGCAAGTATGGGTTTCAGCCCTCCCTTCTCCTCCATGGCAAGAAGACCCTTGCTGAAGGGTGCAGAGAGGTTTCCTGGGCCTTTCTGAATTTGCTTTCTTTGCAGCTGATCCCACAGGACCAGCTCTGGGCCCCTCCCAGCAAAGGAATCCAGGGAACAGTGCCCCCAGCCCAGGCCCAGAATGCTTCCCCAGGGTGAGTAAGGCTTTGAGGGAGGTGGGGAAGACGGGGGTGGGTTGGTCCTCCTCACTCACGGGAGATCTCGTCATCTGGTCCTCCCTCAGGCCCCTGGGCAGGTGGCACCTGCCTAGCAGCAGGACAGCCAGCGTGGGCAGGACCCTCCCATGCCAGCTCCGGGCATCCCCACCTCAGCAGTCCTGCAGTCGGCCGGGCAGGTCCTCCCTGGAGGACATGACCCACTCAACCAACTGTGCTCAGAACCCCATCCGGGCCTTGGCCAGGCTGAGGAGGAGACTGTCACCAGGCCAGAGCCAGGCCAGCCCTGCATACCAGCCCCAGGAGCGGCCCACGTAGCCTGCCGTGTGGTGGGGCTGGAGAGCAGGTGGCTGGCAACCCGTTCCATAAAATAAAGCCCCGGCCATCTGCCCACAGCACCCTTGGCCTCATATCACTGGCTGAGCCAGAGGCAGAGTCCTTCCTCCCACATTCTGGGTGGGGACCACTGAGTCCCCAGCCATGTAGGTCGTCTGCCGGCAGAGGCCTAGCACACTGTCCTGACAGGACAGTGGGAAAAGAGGGCACACAAAGGATAGCAAGAAGCTTTAGCACCTGGGCCAGGTGAAAGGTAGTCTTTTGATTCCCAGAGCAAGCACAAAAGGGTGACAGACTCAGCGACCCCTACCCATGGAGAGTAGTAGGGTCAGGGTAGGGGTAGGTCAGAGAAAGAGAGCAGCTGCCAAGGTAGGCCTGGTGAGGAAGGAGTCAGAGAAGGGGTTCCCGGCTCTAGGGCCTCCTACCCCCAGCTCTGAACCCAGGATGGGGACATTAAGGACCCAAGAAAGTCAGTTGTCCTTTTTACTAAGAAACTATTCACCTTCAGGGAATGTGAGTTTGTCAAAAGGATTTTTCTAAATCTGGGAGGTTGGATCCCTAGAAGGCAGGGCAAGGCCTCACCTAACCAGACAGCAGGACCCCCAGCAAGCCCTGGATTTCCCAGGCCTGTCTCTTGGGCCCTGGCACTCATGCCACCCAGCCATGCCAGGCCCACAGTCCAGTTCTCTCCACGAAGCCTCCAGACTGCCCTGGGTCGCCTCAGCAGTGAAGGACAGGCTCTAAGGCCTTGCTGAGGACTTCTCAGGGTGGGCACTCCCAGCTTCCTGTGACATCTTCCCCGGGCGAGGAGGCCAGCAGATAGAGTGCCTCAGTTTATGAGAAAGGTCAAGAGGGGCCATATTTGTAGCTAAATGGGCATGGCCGCTATCTGCCCAACTTCAGCTTCTGTGGAGCCTGGCATTGTGGAGGGAGGCTGGGATGCCCTGGCCCTCACGGGCAAAAGCCAGCCCTTGGGGTGGGGTCTCTGAGGCAAGACACGTGGGTCCAAGTCCAGGGTAGGACCAATCACAGCTCATCTCCCCTCTGCTCACAGTTCTGGAGGTCAGGAGTTCAGGCCCTGTATCTGGGTTTTCCATTCAGAATCTTAGAAGACTCATGTCAAAGTATCTGCCAGGTTACATTCCTTTCTGACAGCTCTTGGAAAGGACCCGCTCCCAGGCTCATTCTGACCACTGGCAGAATTCTGATCCTTGCAGCTGTAGGACTGAGCTCCACCTCCCCAATGGCTGCTGTCAGCAGGGGCCACTCTTAGCGCTCGGAAGCTGTCTGCCTTCCTTGCCATGTGGCCCCTTCCATCTTCAAGTCAGCAACAGAGAATTTCTCACACACTGAATGCCCTTCTTGCTTCAACTTTCTGACTTCCTCTTCTTCCACCGGGCCAGTGAAAACTCTCTGCTTCTAATGGGCTCTCGTGGTTAGGTCAGGCCCTCTTGGATACTTTCCCTATCTTAAGATCAACTGTGCCATATAACCTCATCATGGGGGTAACATCTATTACACTCCCCATTGCAGGTTTACAACAAGGCGTGTCCATGAGGGCTGGGGGTGGGGTATCTTGAAGCCTGTCTTAGAATCCCCCCTCACAGGCTGTAGAGCCCAAGGCGACTTTTCTGTCTTAAGACATCCACACAAATCTGATCTCTTTATGTTAAAATATATCCATGTTTACTTCAGTATTAAACCTCCCCTACTCCAAATCTTAAAAAACCCAGCTGCCCCTAAAAGATGCACCACGTTTATCCTGCAGCTTCAAGTACTCTGGTCAGCAACCTGTAGCCTGGCCAAGCAGCACAGGACTGGATGGCTTCTGAGGCCTCTGGTCCCAGCCAGGCCTGGGGAGGGAGTCCAGCTGGACAGGCAGTACTTGCTGCCCCTCGTGTCCAAGGGCTGAGGGCGCTATCAGGGGAGGGGCCTCTGGGTTGAACATCATAGCCTTGACCAAGATGTGTCCTGAAAGACAGGCCGGGATCCTCCCACAACCCAGCGCCCAATAAATAAGCACAAAACCCGACCAGCCACCGCAGCCTCAGTCCCCAGGGATGCCCCGACAGGCAGGTCAGAGAGGCACCAAAGCCCTGGGACCAGCTGCGCTGCCCCACCCCCTTCTTCCCTGGGGCCCCTGCCCAGGGTCCTGGGAGCTGCCTGCGAGGAGGGCAGACACAGACATTCCAGGATGGTAGAAGAAGGGCCCCAAGGTGGCTTCTCTTTCTTGAGTTGGCAGGTCCAGACCCTGCATCCTCAGACTGGGGAGTGTGGTCCCTCCTTCCCAGAATGAATATGATGGGGTGCCTGGCCCCTCAGCAGGGGAGGCCCCTGTCCTTCCTCCCACCGCCTTCCTGTCCATCCCGCTGTTCTGTTCCAGGAGCCCAGGCCTAGGGCCAGGGTGCAGGTGGGAGGGTCCTTTGCCCACATGCAGAGACCCAGCTTGGGCAGCTAATCGTCTGAGTAGCGGTTCCCTGCATGGGAGCAAGAAAACACCAGGAGGGAGATGTCAGGTGGGGAGCGAGCAGGGAGAGCTGGCCAAGGGCCCCCACCCCTGGTGCTTACCCAGGACGTTGAATTTGCATAGCGGGCAAGTCTGCTGGAGCATCAGCCAGGGGTCCACGCAGTCTCGGTGAAACTCATGCTTGCAGGGCAGCACCCGGAGCCACTGCCAAGTGTGGGGGGAGACTTCAGACCACAGTCAGGCCTCCAGATGGGGATGCCTGGCCCCACCTGCACGGGGGAACTGAAACTCCTACAGCCTGTCACCATCCTCCCCACCCCCTAGTGGGTGCTTTCCTAGTTAGAGTAGGAGCTGGTGGGATAAGGGCCTGGTAGGAACGGTTCTGGGGGGTCGCGGAGCAGTGAGGGACATCACAGGTCGGCCTCTGCCCATGGCACTACCTGCTTATTGCAGAAGTAGTCCAAACACACGGCGCAGGTCTCAGCACCTGGTTCTGGGGGGCCCTGGGCTGCGCGGCCCAGACGGCAGCGCCGGGTCTTCAGGGATGCCAGTCTCCGAAGCACGCGGAGCTTGAGAAGGTCCACCTGGTGGGGGAGGGCAGGCACAGTCAGGCGGGCCCCGGGCTGGGGGCACCGGGGCTTCCGGGGGCCGGCTCTCACCTGGCCTCCAGGTTCCTGCTGGCTCTGCCTGGCCGCCTGCCGCTGGGCCTGGACCACGAGGCCTGTGCACAGGAGCATGGCCACCAGCAGGATGGCGTTCCACAGCTGCTGCAGGGGCTTCTGGGCAGGGGAGCAGAGTGTCAGGAAGGCTGGGGCCGCTCTATGCTCTTCCCCCAGTGAGTCCACTCCGAAGACCAGGCAGGTAAGGTCCATTGGCAGCACGTCCCTGCAGGTTCCTGACTTCCTCTTCTGAAGCCTGCGTGCCTCCCATCTGTGCCCCCAGGGTCAGCCCCCGCTGTCTATACAGCTCCTCGTCTAGCTGCTGAGGGGACCCACCTCGGCCCCCAGACCGTCTCCTGGGAAAAAAGCTTTTGCATTCTTGGAAGCTTCTCTCTGGCAGCCTCACAGACTCCCCAGCCTAGGACCCTATCACTTTCCCACCCTCATCCCTACCCCACACTTCTCCTGGTCTACTTTCTTGGGTGCCATCACCCACCCACTTCCGTCTGAGCTGAGCATTCACGTGGTCCCCTGTGGCTTTGCTCTTTGGGGGCCCATGCACCCCTCCCCTCCATCCCATTCCTCTGCTCTTTGGGGGCCCTGCTCCAGCCTCACCAGCCCACTTCCTACAGCAACAAGGATCTCACCTGCAAACCTGATCACCCAGGACCCCTGCTTGCCCCCTTCCCTGCAACATCCCCACCCTCAGGAGAGACCCTGAACTCCTCGAGCAGCCATCTGGCAAGGTCCTAGATCGCCCACCCCCTGTCCTTTCAGGGTCCCATGCTCCATGTCCTTTCTTGTGTTTCCAGTTCTTCCTCACCCCTTCCCTGGGCTAATGCCTTTGGATGCCCCCTGCTCCAGAGCTCTCCCCGACCCCCAGCCCTTCCCACACTCTTTACTGTGTGCTTCCTTGTCACTGCCCTCGGTGGTCCTCAGGCTCCCGCTGGGGGGAAGGAACCACATCAGCCCTGCCCTTGGCCCTTGAGAGGGCCTCTCAGGACCTCAGAGTTTCTGGGCTGGGGATGGGGGGGAATGCTCTGACCTTGACTTAACTACCCCCACTCCCACCCCACAGCAGTGTGGCAGCTGGGCTTTGACTACAGGAAATGATGTGGCACAGTAAGCAAAACCCAGCCGGCTCACCCAAACAGGCGCACCGGCTCTCAGGGTCTCTGCACATGTCACGACTAATAAATGCATTCATTTAAAAGCTTTCTGCATTCCTGGTAGCTTTCTGCCATCGTGTTCTTCCCCGGCCAACAACAAAGCTCAACTACCATCGGGTTACAAGGGAGAGGGGCCAAGAAGTGATTGGCTCTTAAGAGAACAGGACTCTGGACAGGCTGGGTGCTGCTGGTGTCACAAATCAAGAGAGGACCGTGAGCCCCAGCTGCCTGTTCCTCAGCCTCTCTCCTCTGGTCTCTTTCCTGCAGGAAAGCCCCCGTCTTTCCTGAGGAGTGGGAGAAGGTAGTACCTCCTGCTGCAGGAAGCTCTTCCCCAAGCCCCCAGGCCGAGTTCAGATGCTTCTATTGTGTCCTGGAGGGCCCGTCCCCCCTCCCCTGCTCAGTGCTGACCCCGGCAGAGTGACTGCCATGGCCTTTTACCTCGCCATTTGGGGCCCCAGGAGCCCAGGGCCAGAACTGCCCTGACTTTGTGGCCTGGGCTGTGCGGAGCCAGGCTGACATGGGGCAGGACTCAGCTGCCCCTGTGAGCTCACCAGGGCAGAACCTGGAGATTTGAGATCTGGAGCAGCCTGGGGGCACAGGGTGGGCACAGGGCATGGCCAGCTTGGGGCCCTGCTGCAGGCCAGAGACCCAGTCCTCTCAGGCTCAGCACATGTGCGGGACCCCCAGGTGAGCAGGTACGGAGGGAGTCCCTCTGACCTTTCCAGTGCACGGGTGCTGTAGCTCTGGGTTCAGACTCACCAGCATGGTGACGTGGCCCTAGGTTTGGGGCCGAGAGCTGGCCCCAGACACCCTTAGGCCACCTTGGCTATCATGGCTACCCAGCACTTGACAGGCTCAGCTCTGCCCCCTGTACCAGCCAGACTGGCCTGCAGACTGCAGGCATTCCCACTCCCAGGCCGCTTGCCCAGCCCGCTCTTCCCCGGGCTCCAGGCTTTCTGCAGGCCCATCCTCTCTCATCCAACAGTCCCTCACCAAAGGCCTGCCCCACCCAGACGTCTGGGTGGGCTGCCCTCCAGGGGAAGACCCGGTGCGGCTCCCTCTTCTCCCAGAAAGCCCTTCTGTTCCCCTAGTCCCACTGCCCGCTCCCTTCACACAACTGTGGGTCAGTTCCTGCTGCTCGAATAGGAATGAGCACATGACGTCCGGGCTGAATTGCTGAGGCCTTTTCATGGGAGAGTTCCTTCCCTGCTTGTCTTTGAGCCCCTTCAGGACAGTGCCTGGGTCCCATAGGTTTTCTGGACCCTCCACAGCCCTTCTCTTTGAGCCCTATGTGTCCTAGGACCTCAAAGATTATCTGGTGACTGCTAATTTATTCCATCATTTATAACAACAAACACATTCAGAGAGTAGGAGCTGCCCACCTGCTTTGTGCCCACTGTGAGCTTCATGCACACACAACACCCTGGCGATCCTGTGGCCGTGTGCTGTCCTTGTTCACAAAGGAGCAACATGAGGCTACAGAGGTTAAATGCTCAACCTGAGATCCCTCAGCTAAGGCTGCAAGTCTGCCTCGCACAGCCCAATCCCACTGACACCCCCCCGGAGGCTGCCCACCAGTAGACCAGGACATGCCTGCCCTGACAGAGCATCTGTCCACAAATGCTTGTGGACAAAATACCTTCGAACCTTCTCGATGCCCAGCATTGAGAAATCCAGAGAGTAGTAAGACACAGCCCCAGACTTCAGGAGACAAAGTCACATTCCCAACACTTAGAGACTTCGGACTGTCCTGAGAACACTATGAAGGGCCTGACAAAGGACGATTTCAAAGACGGAGAGAGGAATGGTGAGCTGAGGCTGCGAGGGAAGCTTTCCAAAGAAGGCAAGCAGACGAGGATGTATGGAGACAGAGAAAAAGAGTGTCCATGCCTGCAGCCAAGCACAGACAAGGCCTAGTGGCGGGAGGCCAGGGCATGTGTGAAGGCCAGTAAATGGCATAGGGTGAGAGTATAAGGAAGAGACTAGGAAAAAAAAAAAATGAGTGAGTGAACAGGAGAGCTGTGAGAGCCAGGCTAAGGAATCTGAACTTTATTCTGCAGGCAATGGGGAGCCAAGGAGGGCTTCTGAGCAGGAGACTAACATAGCCATAGTAACTAACACTGATTATGCATGACCCCATCAGGCACTGCACTGAGCACCCGTGTCAATGAGCACTCATTACAGCCCTGGGAGGTGGAAGAAGTGGTTCTGGCCAGCAAGGTGAGGAGAGGCCACAGGATCTGAGACAAGGCACATGTGCAGTCATACCCGAGCCTCCTCTCCCCAGGTACCCACCTGCTCCTGGGCCCGACTGCCTCCCAGGCACACCAAGTCCTGCCATCCTCCGTAGCCATCCTTGGAGAGGCCACAGGTGGTCCACAGGGTCAGCTTCCACTCGATGTTGGCTGACAGCGACTCTCCGCTAGTGATCTCGGCTGTGGCCTGAGTCGTCCTGGGAGGGAAAGCCACAGAGGGGCTAGAGAGAAGGGCTTTTGGCAGGAGATGACCCACCCACCCCAGCCTTGTAGGAAAAAGATCCTCCCACGTATCATCCCACAGCCTTTCCGCTTTGGCCCCCAAGCCTTTTCTGGTTATTGGTTTTTCCATTTCTCACATCAGCCAGACCAGGGAGGCCTGCAAGTCTCGGAAAGAACCTGTCAGTCAGGAATCCAGCTTCCTCCTTCCTGAAGCCAATTCCCCTAGGCCCCTAGAGCAGCCTCTTTGCTCCAGTCCCCTCACCCATTTTTCAGACCAGGAGACTACAGTCTGAAGGTTAACAGGAAAAGCCCTGGTTCTGAGACCACGGCAGATTCAGGGACCCCCTCAGCACCCAGGTTCCCAAGCCCAGTCCTTTGGAGCCCAAACCCCAACTCACTGCAGCAGTGCCTCCAACAGCTTGGTGACATTGGAAGAGTAATGGAGGACAATCACTGGCCTGAGCAGAAGCTGCGATATATCTAGCTGGAGATGGATAGACAAGGTCAGCCGGCGTTGGTCCCCTCCTCCCTGGCCTGCATACCCCCGCGCCTGAACCAGTTTACCTCTCGGACCACGTTGTGGTTCAAGATGAGGAGGAGCAGGGCAGAGGCTCCCAGGAAGAGTGCCCTCCGCATCTGTGAGGGACAGAGATAGAAGCTAGCTGACCCCCTGCCCACACACCTGTCTCACTACCCACGACCACAGTTCTTAGCTCCTGGCTCTGCAATGTTTTCCTCCGGACAGACCAGCTGTACACTCCTTCTCCCAGATGTTCTGAGGACCCAAACAATTACATGCCTTCCCTGGTCCTAGTAGGACAGGCCTGCCCACCAACTCTCAGCAGGAACTCCCCATCTGATACTCTCAGAGCCTGGTGGAGCTTCCTGACTATGGCCACCTCCCACCTCCCTGCTTTCACTCCATACTGACTCAATTTTCCAAACTGGGGTCCCTAACCTCACCCAGGCCCCAGGTTTCTCTGCAAGCTCCTTAGGGGCCCACCTGGTAGTCTGGCTCTGGCCTTGAAACCCATTCCTCCAGTCCCCTTCCCCACATACACCCCCTGCACCTGCTGGACCAGGGCCTTGGGATAGGCCTGGGGACCGCTGCCCTGACTCTCCTGGTGCAACTGGGCCTCCTGCTCCTTGCCCACGTATGCCACTGCAATCCAGCCTTCTACGGGTACCTCCTGCTCAGCATCCACGATGTCCATCTGTGGGGTAAGGGACCACAGGCAGGAGGAGGAAGGGGAGGAAGGGGGGTTGGACACACAGGGGATGTAAGGTCAGGGTTTGGGAGCGAGTTTGAAGGGAAGGGCATCTGGATCTCAGGTTTTGGAAGCCGGGGTTTGAGGCCTGGGCATCCTGGGGAGAGGGCGCTGGGAGGCTAGGGCTTGGTCCAGGATAAAGGCCGGATCTGGGTGTGGGATCTACGGCGGGGCGGGGCGGGCCGGGACCAGATGGCTCGGCTGCGCTCACCAGCAGCAGGCGGCCGCCCAGCGCGGGTGCGGGGTCGACCTCGGGGCCGATCCTGACGCCCTCCAGGACCAGAGCGTCCTGCCGCGGCAGCCTCACGTCCACTCGTACGGCGCGGGCCCCGCCCCGCCCCGCCCGGGCCTCAGGCTCGCTGCAGTCCGCCGCGGCCCCGGGTCCCGCCAGGCCCAGCCAGAGCGGCAGCAGGGGCAGCAGCAGCAGCAGTGGCGACGGCGGCGGCGGAGGAGGCGGCGGGGGCGACCTCAGCGTGGGGCGAGCAGCGGGGCCCATGGCTGGACCCGGCGAGCAGACGAGACAGGGGTGCCAGGGGTCCCGGCGCGGGGGGGAGCGTAGGGAGCGAGGCCGCGGCCGGACGGGGCGGGGCGCCGGGAGGGGCGGGGCCGGGGCCGGACGGGGCGGGGCGCCGGGAAGGCGGGGCGTCCTCGGCCTCACTGGTGCCCAGACCAGGCCGCGCGCGCCCCCTGGTGGCCGCCGAGAACTCCGGCGCCGGCTGCCGAGGTGGCTGGAGTGGGGCGGAGCCCGGGAAGAGGTAGTTAGCTTGTGGCCTGTCAGACTGGCGGAGACCCGAGCACAGCACGGGAGACGGAAGGAGATAGTTAGCAACATGGGGAGGCAGAGGCAGGATCAGGGCCCCCAGAAGGTCAGGAACAAGGGACGTGTTGTGGCCTGAAGGCTGGCTGTGCGCCGGCCTTACTACGGTAACTCGGTGTGGCCTTGGTCAAGTCACATCCTCATCTTCCCTGGGCTTCCATCTCTCCACCAGACCAAACTCCAGGAAACAGAGAATCAGATTGGCGTGAGAAGGAGATGGGGGAGATTGAGACAAGGGTCCCGGAGGGGCAGAAAAGGGGCTGGGGACATTTGCCTGAACAAAGCAGGCCGGACACAGCTCCTCAGGGGGGCCCAGAGGCTAGGTCTTCAGGCAGGTCACTCTTCTGGGCAGTGAAATGGGCACGATATTAAATGCAGCACTGCCTCATCTCCAACAAATAATCTCTGATGCCTACAGGAATGTGAAAAGTCCACACATTGTCCTAAAACTCATCTTTTTCTCAAAGGGCTGTGGCTGCTGGGAATTGCCTCGTCTGAAACCTGAGGCTTTTAAAAAGTGTATCCTGATTAAAGGGTAAAGGCCAGATAAGCCACAGCACTCTTTCCCCCAATAATTTTTTTATGATTTTATTTATTTATTTTTCAGAGAGAGAGAGCACAAGCAGGGGGAGCAGCAGGGAGAGGGAAAAACAAGCTCCTCACTGAAGAGGGAGCCCGATGCAAAGCTCAATCCCAGGACCCCCCACCCCATTATGACCTGAGCTGAAGGCAGACACCTAACTGAGCCACCCAGGTGTCCCTCCCCCAATATTTTTTTATGGAAAATTTCAAACATACTGAAAAATGAAAAGAATTTTATAGTGAACACCCTTATAACCACTAATGTTGAATTGTCAAGGGACTCCTGAAGAATAAGATGGAGAGAACAAGAGAATCTGATGTAAGTCCAAAGACAGACAAATGGGGCATGAAACAGAGAAGCCAGAAACCGGCCTACACATAGAACTGTGGCTTTGTCCGAGGGACCACTGCAGTTGGAGAGAGGGGCCGTGTTATAGACTGTTTGGCAAATCGTGCCAAGGAAATGAGTTAACCATAACAAAAAGCAATGAAATTGGACCTCTACTGCACATTGTACCGGAAAAATCAATTCCATGTGAATTAAAGATCTAAAAATGAAAAGCGATATTTAAGCATTTTTAGAAAGAAACGTAGAAGACTATCCTGTTTACTTCAAGGTCAGGAGAGATTTCTTACTACATAAAAACAGATTATAAAGGGAAAGATTGAAGAAATGCATCTGCAATAAAATGAAAAAAACCTTGTAGTAAAGTGGTAGGGAAAGCAACAAACTGGGAGAAGGTATTTGCAACCAAATTATTCCTATGCAGAATATACAAATGCATAGATAAGGGCCCAAGATGCAAGTAAGCATTTGACAAATAAGAAAACAACAATGGCCAATAAATATGAAAAGATCCTCAACCTAATTATTAATCAGGGAAATACGAGTCAAGATCACAACTCGTCAGTAGGAGAAGAGAGAAATCTGTGGTACGTTCATATGTAAAATACCATGTAATAGAGAAAAACAAATGGTTTAGTTGTGTGTATCACTCTGGATAATTCTAACAGAATGCTTAGCACAAAAAACAAGTCTCCAAATAATGCATATGATTTAAACTCAAAAACATCAGTATTTATAGGAACAGTACACAAAAATCAGTTGTGTATCTCTATGCCAGAAATGAACGATTTTAAAAGGACATTAAGACAACAATTCGATTTACAACAGTTGCCAAAAAAAAAAAAAAAAACCCAAAAAACCCACCTGGAAATAAACTTAGGCAATGAGCTGAAAGATCTGAGCACTGAAAAGTATAAAACATTGCAGAAATAAATGAAAGAATATCCTAAATAATGGAAAGACATCCATGTTATTGGATTGATAGACTTAGTAATGTTAAGATGGCCATACTACCCAAAGCAATGTACAGATGCAATGTACAGATTCAGTGTACTGAAATTCTAATGATCTCTTTTGAAGAAATGGAAAACTCCTCCTGAAATGTACATGGAGTTGGAAGGAGCCCTGAATACCCCCGTGGACAAAAAAAAGAACAAAGAGGACTAACACTTCCTGATTTTAAAATGTACTATAAAGCTACAATAACCAAAACAGTGTGGTTCTGGTGTAAAGAGACTCATAGATCAATGGAATAGAATTGACAGTCCAGAAATATGCCCAGACATCTATGGCTGATTGATTTTCAACAAGGGTACCAAGACTATTCAATAAGGAAAAGAATAGTCTCTTTAACAAATGGTGCTGGGACAATTGGACAGCTACACGCAGAAGAATGAAGTTGGACTCCTACCTCACACCATATAGAAAAATTAACTCAAAGTGGATCAGTGTTGGGAATGTAAAATGGTGTAGCAGCTGTGGAAAATAGTACGGTGGTTCCTCAAAAAATTAAACATAAAATTACTATATCATCCAGCAATTCCACTTCTGGGTATATATCCAAAATAAATGAAGGCAGGGACTCAAACAGATATTTGGACACCAACGTTCATAGCTATGTTATTCACAATAACTGAAAGGTGGCAGCAACTGAAATGTCCATTGATGGATGAGTGGATAAATTTTGATATGTCCATATGATGGGATATTATTTAGCTATAAATAGGAATGAAGTCCTGACCCATGCTACAAGATGGATGAACTTTGAAAACATTATGCAAAGTGAATTAACCCATACACAAAAGGCCTAGATGTCAAATGCTAGATCCAGAATAGATAAATCAGTAGAGAGAGAAAGCAGATTGGTGGTTGAAGGGAAGGGGAAATGATAAGTAACTGCTTACTGGGTACAAGTTTTCTTTTTGGGGTGATGAAAGTCTTTTGGAATCAGAGGTGCTGGCTGCATAACATCGTGAATGTACGATACTTCGTACTGAATTTTTTTTACTTGAAAATGGTTAATTTCATGTTATGTGAATTTCACTTCAATTAAAGAAAAAAAACATGGCAGACCAACTATATTTTGAAGAGAGAAATTCATCTGTAACAAAACTATCAAGAAAATGAAGGGACTGAGAAGTACAGACTTCCGTTCACCAGGTGGGATGTAATTGGGGAAGGGCACCCAGGAGTGTTCTGCTTAAGTCACGTGGGTGTTTCTTGTATCATTCTTTATTCTTCGTGCTAATGTTCTTTCATACCTTAAGCAATCTCTCTTTGTAAGTTGCAAAAGGCTCTCTGCAGGCCCCTAGGTGTCCATGGAGAGTCTTGATTCTCCAGGTCCGTGAATGTCCCAGTCCATCTGTCAGCCCCAATGACAGGGTTGCAAGGACACACCCTGTAATCAGTGAGGCTGTTGGCTCCGCTGTCTGCCTATTCCTATTCTGTCCCTATTCCTACAGCTTGCTCCCTAACCCCATCCTGCCCACCTAGGCAAAGGGTCCTTTCTGCCCCCTTAACACACACACACAGACACACACACAAACACACACACACACACACCAATGAGGCACAGACCCTTGCCTCTACCTGTCCCCAACCTGGAACAAGCTTCAGTTTCCCCCATGAATATCCACATCCTAGCTTTCCATCAGTGGGAGCCTGAGGCGTCCTGTAAACTTAGTGAGTAACCAAAGTAACTCTGTGGTCTGTCCTCCCACTGGGGAACGGTTAGTTATCCCGGAAGAAACAAGTGCTTGGAGACATAGTCTAAATGTGGCAGAGCCCTTCTGCTGTTGCGTTTTGGGTGGGGGAGAGGAGTGGGGGAGGGTAGAGAAAGAGTGTAGATCAGAGCTGCCATTAGAGGGAGTATTAGCCCAGGGACAAGGCAGCAAAGGCCAGGAGACTGCTAGCAGGGAATGAGCGCTGGGAGAGCATGTGAGGAAGAGGAGACTAGAGGACCATAGAGGGAAGGATGAGATCCCAGCTGGGAGAAGCAGGCCTGGTGCTGAACCTTGGGCCTCCCTGCTCTCAGGGCTGGGCAGACAGGATGCTCAGCCCAGTGGGCCCCTCCAGAGGAGCCAAGCCCCTAGATCCCAGCTAGCTTCCCTTCTGGGGCTGAGTGGGCAGCTGGCATGGACAGGGCTGTTACTCTTTCTGTCGTGTTCCTCCCAGTAAGCCACTTCCTTTTTCTTGCCTCATGTCCCCAGCTGTAAAGGAAAATGAGAGTTGGACCAAACGATTTGGGGGCAGGGGGTCCTTTCACCAGACATGCTGTGATTCCAAATGACTTGTGCCTTGGATTACAAGGTTCCCTGGCCCTGGGCTGGGCTGTGAACTGGGTGGAGGAGGCCCCAGTGTCCCGTCTTCTTCACCTCCTAAAGTTGCAGGAAGACCTAGGAAGAAATGAAGCTGTTAATGAAAGTGTGAGGCATGGGCCGTGTTACCAAAGTGGAACGGGCTTGAGGCAGTGAAATGTTCTAGAATTGACACCAGGAATAGAGTATGTGGTAAGGCCAGTGAATTCCATGGGCTTGTGCCTACGGTGTCTCTTCCTCTGCTGTGAAATGAATTCTTCTCTGTGATGCCAGGCTGTGCATAAAAATGGACAAAGCATTCCGTGAGCGATGCTGGAAGTGGGATGAAGGCAGAAAGGCAAGTCCATATCCAGAATCTGGGTCTGCCCCCTCCCCCCACCTCCCCAGCTGCGAGCACCCTCCCAGATGGAATAGGGCCAATGCAATCAAGCTGCCACCAGGTGGCAAGATAGTCCCCAGGGAATGGGACCATGCAGGGGCCCAGTTTTGGGCTCTGCTCTTTTTACAAAG